TAAGACTAATTTGATACCGCCATCATCTCCGTCGACATCTGCAGAGACCATCACATCGGAATTGCCTGCAGAAAGTCCTGAAGTTCCTGAAAGTCCGCCTGATTTCAGGAGTGAGTCACAACAAAGCAGCTTAAGTTCATATTCTCAAAGGAGCTCATCTTCGAAGAGAAAACCTGATTTAGCAGACATTTACAATATGATGAAGACACAGCATAATCAGAGGCAACAAAAACTACAGTCAAAGCTGGACTTGGATGAAACAGACATGTTTTTCTTAAGTATGAGCAAAGCAGTCAAAGCACTACCAAAACTAGACCAAACAAAAATAAAATTAGATCTACATATGGCTATTTCTCAGGCTGAAATTCGTAACATTGAAATGGAACGTGTAATAAAGACACCGCTTAGAATAGTTTCTCAAACGGTAGTTCCGCCAAGTAACCAGCCTCTTCCAGAGCCATCCAGTGCTTACTACTATCATAATTCACCTACAGAAATAAATGATTTTTCACCTGAATCCCAGTCCATACTCGATCCTGAGGCTCAAAATTCAAATTCAACCGGAGAAGAAAACTTGTCCACTTATTACAGCGGTGTAACTTTTAATTGAGCACCGTCTTTGAATGATTAATATAATAGTTTTGTACTTGTTAAAATTGTTAATTTTTAATACAAAATAAAAATTACCTCAAACATACTGCTAGCCTTTCTTTTGTTCCAATGGGTCGGCGAAATCTGGTATGAATCTTTTTAATATCTTGTTCAATTAAAGAATGTATGTAATTGAATTGTTGTTTTGTCATCCTGAAGTACTGTTGAAATTTAATTTCATCGCTTTTTAGTTCCTGCACCAACAAATGATATTCACTTCGGCTTCCTCTTGAAGTATTTATTGGATGTACCCAATATCTCCTTTTCTTTCTTTCCTTTTTGAGTAGGCTTAACATGAGCAGGTATGCTAAATTTTCTTCAAAATCTGTATCCGAGTCTGAAGAAAACATTGTAGACGTCTACTCCAAAGGCCACCACTGTACTGACTGAGACGAATTTTCGTGAGGCCGCGCGGCGACACGACACGCAAATGTAATAACCCGCCGTTGCGTCAGGCAGCGTGGCGACACGCGGCGTGGGCTAAATATAATTGCGGCTTAACCACCGATCCCATCAGGTTCATTCTTAAGTCATTGTAATAGTACGCATTTCAGTTAGAAAATAGACATTATATGTTGGAGTCAGAGTAATTTAGATCAATCTTGGTGAAGTGAATAAACAGTCAGTGATTAACCATAACACCTTTTATTTAACATTCACATTAGGCACCCCTAACCTAGCGAACTCATGTGGTCTCTCCAGACGTAAAGCCTAAAGTGGTGACGCCCGCGCTTTTTCGGTGTGCGACTCACAAACCTGACGGCGGACAGACACACGAACGAAAACGTGGCGAACTTTGAGCTTAGGGTAGTGAATTAAAGTTTTGAAGATATAAATTTTGCGTAAAAATGTATGAAGCTGCCGTTTGCAGACCGGATGAGCCGATCGTTGCGAAACAGGAGTCCGCACCATCGACTAGTGGACAAGAGATAGCCATGGTGACGGTACAGTCACGTATCCCCGAGTTCTGGACGGAGATGCCAAAAATCTGGTTCACGCATTTTGAGTCGATAATGGCACCACAAAAACAGGGAGACAACGTTAACTTCGAGATGGCAGTTGCAAAATTAAATAAAGAGGCGCTCAGGCAGGTGAGCGACCTGATCCAACCACCACCGGCTACAGAGAAGTATAACGTTTTGAAAAGAAGACTTATAGTCGTGTATGAGGAGAGTGCAGAATCGCAATACCAGAAACTAGTGAGCGAAATGGATTTAGGCACGCAGAAACACTCACAGTTGCTTAGAAGAATGACAGAACTAGCAAAAAACGTTGGCATATCAGGCGACCCATTAAAAAAATATGGATAAATCGTTTGCCACCGAATGTAAGAGCAGATCTAGCAGTGAGTGGAGACACAAACAAGGTTGGAAGATTTAGCAGCCATAGCGGACAAGATTTTGGAGAATCTGAGGGTTGGAGAGATTGCATCAGTGAGCAGTGCACAAGCAGAGGTACATCCAGACATTATTAGGCACATATGAGACCTAACAGCAGAAATGAACATATTTTATAATAATTATACACAATTTAATATTCACTAAAATTATCTTTATACAAAATTATATTTATCTACATATTATAATATTTACATCATCCGAACATTTGCCGGATGATAAGGTATGGCCCACTCGCCGTCGTGAAATGGAAACGTACAATTCAAAAGCCGCCGTACCGATTTCCCTATACAAGCAGCGCGAGCGCACAGCGCAGTCACGCATACCAGTCGAGATTGATACACCGCGCGAAGCCTATGTCACTCGTTACTATTTGTTAAGCTTTCGCTAGCTCGTTAAGTGCTTTTGCTTAATAATGTTATTGCAATATTATAGCCGTATTTATCTGTGCTGTTTTTTGTGCTTTGCTTACTTTCCGAACTATTTATTCTTCTTGTGTACTTCCTTCTGTACTTTAATATGTGTGTGTAATTGTGTGTTGGATTATAAACACTGTACGTAAGTTAATCTGGACAATTGTTATCGTGAGTAATCACACCACCGATTCTAATACGTATTAACATCAACACCTCTGCACACTATAAGCAGCTACGCTGATTCCTAGGAATGATAAACTTTTATAGAAGTCTCTTAGATCATGTAGCAGATAGTCAAAGTCTACTGAATAAATATTTACATAAAGCTAAGAAAAGGGATAAAACAAAGACAGAATGGAATACAGAATCGTTAGAGGCATTTAAACAATGTAAAACAAGTTTAGGTAACGCAAGCATGTTATCATATCCAGAACCACAAAATCAGTTAGCCTTAATGTGTGACGCTTCGAATACAGGGGTAGGCGCTGTATTACAACAAAAGGTTGCTAACGATTGGAAGCCATTAGGTTATTTTTCAAAGGGTCTTACTAATACTCAAAAGAAATATAGTACGTACGATAGAGAACTCTTGGCAGTTTATTTAGGTATAACACATTTTAGAAATATAATTGAAGGTAGTACATACGCGTTTAGTAAAATCGGTTCAGATCGAGAAACACCGAGACTTCCGGTTCCAAGTGTAGCTTAGGAAGTGAAAACAAAGTAATATTTTTTTTATTGAATATGTTTAAAAATTTTACAATTTTAATCACACCTAGATTAGACTAGATTCCAAGAATGCTGACTTAATATATGCGTCGACGCGCGGTCCGCGGTGACGCGAGCGAGTCGCACATAACCACCGATCCCGTCAGGTTCATTCTTAAGTCAAATAGTACGCATTTCAGTTAGAAAATAAACATTATATTTTGGAGTCAGAGTAATTTAAATCAATCTTGGTGAATTGAATAAACAGTCAGTGATTAACCATAACACCTTTAATTTAACATTCACATTAGGCACCCCTAACCTAGCTAACTCTATATATAGACTCTCCAATCGTAAAGCCTGAAAATCTATTTATTCTTATAAAAAAATAGTCTTGGCGTAAAAACTTTAAAGTGTTTATGTATGTTGTAAAATATAATAAACGTATTATCTATCTGAAAGTTATGTATGTATATTGTGTTAAATTTAATCGATTTTACAATAGAAATATTTTCCCACAAGCGATTTATAAGCAGACGAGGCTTGCCCAGCGACATATTTTGTGATAACAGCGGTTGCTTTCGTGGGGCAAAGAACCAGGTAGCTGATGTGCATAAACTAAATAATTCGCCTGATCACCAGATGCATGTGCAAGCCTATGCTGCAAAAGAAGTAATTAAATTGCACTCTACGGCGAATTATGCGCCATTTTTCGCAAGGCTTGCAGAAGCATCTGTGAAAAGCATAGAACTTCTATTTCTAAAAAGAATAGTTTTAAATACTGTATTAACATATTAACAGTTAAACACCCTATTATGTCAAATTCAGGCTATATTCAATTCGCAACCTATTTTGCCTCTTTCTCAAGATTTACATTAATGACTACGGCAATACCTTACTCCAGTTATTTCTTGATAGGAACAGCTTTAACTAACAATGTACCCTGAAGTAGATATTTTAAAAACCAAAACTGGCAGGCTAATGTATGATGAATGCCTGGTATAAATACTACTTAAATACATTGCAAAATAGGAATAAGTGGTCTAAGACTACGCTTAATATAATAATCGGTGCGCTAGTAGTACCATAGAACCTGATTCTCCTTTCCATTCACCTTTCGTGTGGCCCATGGCACGTGTAGTAAACGTGTACCCTGGCAATGTAGGCAAGGTCAGAGCCGTATAGTTAAAAACAGCTGATCGCAAATTTTATAATAGATCATTGCTAAGTATAAGTGTTTTGCCTATGGAATAAAAAATCCTCTAAAATAGATTTACAACACTAATTAGTTAAAATGCTCATTAGAACTAATAAACCTTTTATAAAATTAATGTTTTTTTTTAAGCATTGAACTGCTAGATGTGTTTCTGTACACATAACTCGTATATTAAATGCCTGTGATATAGGTGAACGTTCTATGGAACATTCTGAGAACACAGCCACACGTAAATACCCACCATTGGACGATGCGAAACAATCTTGCTTTAACAGCTTGAAATCTTTACACAATTTAGTTTGTGGAGCTAAAGACCCTGATAGAGTTGGATATGTACTCTATGATCACGTTCGAAAAAACGTTTGATCTTAAATGGGGTAACCCTAGAGTACTTAAATTTAATTAATATTGCATGTTAATGTTAGATGATAATTATCTATTGTTTGCGTTTTAGTTGATTAGTTATGTTTAAAATTGTTAGGTTATGTGTACCTTAACTTGTTTTAATTTGTTTCTTTCTTTTCCTGATTTGCATTTTATATTTTTTTTTATTATAATGTTCAGTACATTCACCTGGATAGCCTAGATGTTTAAATCTAAAGAAAATCATTTGACATTGTGGGTTACCTACAATGCCAAGAGATGGCGCTGCCTTGCAGCCTAAGGCTAGAGAAAATTCGACACGGCCGTCAGGGCCTCGGTAACATAATTTCATAGTAGCATGGAAAGGGAATCTTATTGTATCGAGTGTATAAACATTGATATCTACGATAAGTTTGATAGAGAATTATCGATCAATATAATCATTTCATGTGAAAAAGTGGGAATTATTTCCCACGTTGATGATTTATTAGTGTTATCACTTTTGAATAACAGTAATAATATCAGTCCCGAGAATAAATTTAATCATTACGAGCGATACGTGGAAGCTATAATGATAGCTTTTCAAGTAAGTAGTCAAAATTGAGCCGCAAGAGCCTCGTGACCCATCGGAAGCGGAAGGTGTGTCACGTAGTACTAGAGCAGGTTCAAAGACACGAGGTAGGAAACCGTCTAAAACTCCACGACGCGGTAGAAGTGGAAGTAGAGCACCGAGATCAACTAGTCAGTCACCGGAGGAAAGGACCCGAAAACCACCAACTAGGAGAGCTTCGACGCCTGTTAAAATTGTCGAGGTCGAGAGCGCACCAGATCCGATAGCGTCGCCATCTATTAGTAGAATAACTAAGCAGTCTTCTTCTTCATCGACTGATAGTACTCTGGCCACTGCGACAGCGAAACTTGGAATAGAAGTCAAACGTTCCATTAAATTATCGACTGAATTAAGAATCGCAGAAAGGAAAATACTAGATTTGACCAATTTAGTAGACGCTTTACGTCTTGAGAACGGCTCTTTGAAAGCTTAAATGGACGGAGCCAACGCTGACAGTGTCGCTCAACATCAGGCCGCTATCGAAGCAATTAACAACCGAATGGAGTAATTTAGTAGGACCATTGAGGATCTGTCGGCCTAAGTGGGTGCTTCTTTGGCAGCAAGACCTCACAGTGCTTTCGACATGAATGTTTGTGTTCATCAGCAAACATCAGTCATTGATAGGGCATCAGTTTGTTTCGGTATCCGAGATTATCAGAGCAGTCGCTGTTGCCCACAGGATCAGATTCACTACTGTTTCCGGCAGGAATGAGATCAGAACATTGTTCATGAGTTTTAAAAGTTATGATATAAACCCAAAGACCCGTTTCCCGGCGGATGGTGAGTACATTAATGTGAACAACAGATGTGTTTCTATACACATAACTCGTAAATTAAATGCGTGTGATATAGGTGAACGTTCTATGGAACATTCTGAGAACACAGCCACACGTAAATACGCACCATTGGACGATGCGAAACAATCTTGCTTTAATAGCTTGAAATTTTTACACAATTTACTTTGTGGAGCTAAGACCCTGATAGAGTGTTGGATACTGTACTCTATGATCACGTTCGAGAAAACGTTTGATCTTAAATGGGGTAACCCTATGAGTACTTAAATTTAATTAATATTGCATGTTAATGTTAGGTGATAATTATCTATTGTTTGCGTAATAGTTGATTAGTTATGTTTAAAATTGTTAGGTTATGTGTACCTTAACTTGTTTTCATTTGTTTGTTTCTTTTCTTGATTTGCATTTAATTTCATTTTTTTATTATAATGTTCAGTGCATTCACCCGGATAGCGTAGAGTGCGTGCGGGTTCGAGTCCCGTCTGCTGCCTGGTCCGCGTGAAATTTTTTCTAGTAAACTTTTTTTACTTTTATAAAATTCTTTATTCATAAACGTTCAATAAACCCTCTTTAGGTATGATCTCGTTATAAGACACTTTAGCGCTGTTATGTTGTCGTTCTGATGAATCCATAGATGAAAACAGCAAACCACTGTTATCTACGGCAAAAAAAAACAACGTCACATAACATTTGTTTGTCAATATTGCTTGCTTTGTGCAGAGGTTTTTCGTGTAATTTTTGCGTAGGAAATTGGATTGCTTAATGGAAATACAAATGGCAAACAAAAAAAAAGAAGAGGCAAAAATTGCCTGGGAGAAGATAAGATAAATTCAACAATTTTCGCTAAGGTACACGACTGTTTGTTAATTTATATTAGCATATTTTTCGTTCATAAACTGATGGCCTATATTATTTCCGTAGAATTTATTGATGGATTTGGTGAGGAACGTGTATCCTTTATCGCACCACTCGTTGTCACGTCTGGTGTGCCCCAGGGAACGCACCTCGGGCCCCTTTTTTGACGTTTTCATAAACGATCTTACAGAACGCTTAACGTTTGCTCTATGCGGATGATCTCAAGATGTTTATGACAATAAAAAACCAAAATAATGCGGAGGTTCTTCAGAAAAAATATGAACATCCTCGACCAGTGGTGCACTAGCACTGACATGCTATTAAATGTTGACAAATGTTTTGTCGTGTCTTTTACTAATAAAAAGCACAAACTTCTTTATGACTATATATTGCATGGACATACTCTCGAGCGAAGAAATGTTGCCAGGGAATTTGGTGTCTTTTTTGATGAAAAGCTTACTTTTCGAGCTCATTATAATCGCATAGTGGACAAGTGTAATCACACACTTGGTTTTATTTGCATCGTACTAAAGGCTTCAATAATCCAGAAAGGCTAGTCCAAGAATTAACAATTCATCGCAGTAAATCTGGTCAAGGTGCTATAGTAAAGAAAAAATACGATCATTTTGACTCCTTGTTATTTTTGGTCCCATCATTACAAAAAAGGGAGACTAGCAACAACATCAAATTTACATTAGAAGATTATTCTGATACTCATACAACTGAAAGGCCTTCACTTCAATGAGTACTAATATTCGAACTCCATCTCATAAAAAGGTGGCCAAAAGCCAAAGTAACAATGATGATTATGAACAAAAACTGTTAAATTTTTTGACTACGACTCAAATGATTGTACCAATGTTACGAAAATTGAATGATGATCAAAATCATTTTGCTAAGATAGAAATTATGAACATTTTGCAAAAAGCCAAATCTTTCTATCCATTCGAACAACAAATTCATGGGCAAGTATATGGACCTCGTATGTCATTCACACCAACACCAACGCCGTCTCCGCAATCGTATTATACACATTCTCCATCTCCAACTATGCCAGAACAGTCACCAGTTTCAACACCAGCGCCTGCTACGTCTTCAATAACTAAGAAGCCACAGATCATTCGTGAACAAATAATAGCGACTGGGCAACAAAATAGAGGACAGTTTGTTACGGGGCCTGCAAAACAAATGATCTATTTACCGCTTAATACTTCTACTCCATCAACATCGCAATCACCCATGAATTCTATTCGAGAACTTGATCATCCAGAACTGTTGCAATATATAGACCTTAATAAACATGAACCTTCAGCTGCTAACTATCTGTCACAATTTCAGGAACAATAAATATATATTTGTTTAATAATAAAATTCCATAATTTCGATATTCTTATCTGGTTTTCTTACTTACCTCAAAGTTACAGCAGACAACCGCTCCTTTGCGAAATGTCGTATCCATATGAGTAATGTATGGACGTATACATTGTAAAATTTTATCCAAGCTGGCTACTGACATCCGATAGTAGTTGAAAAATTTCTCATTATATTTTCTTAAATCTTGATACTTCTTATGAAAGAAACCTTTCTTAAATCTTCTGCTAGTTAATGGATGGACCCAATATTTACGAAATTTGTGACGACGTTTTCTTTTTCTGTTTCTTAGTATTAGAGCAACAATACATACAGCTCTCCTGAAATCCATCCTCAAACTGTGAGAAATCGTGTCTAGTTTCGCAGTTTTCAATCGTAGTATGTGTGCTTCGGGAGGTTTCGCGGTTTTGCGGTTTACCGCTTGCGGGAAATAACCGTAGTGCGCCCTAGCACTTAATCATGAGGTTCTTGTAGTAGGTATCTTGTTAAGTATGGTATACTTTTATATATTTTATTTCTATGGCAACACTGTACTACTTGTTTCTTCCGGTGACATTACTTAGCTTTACGTTTGTAGCTTTACATTATAATAAAAACAAATGAATAAAACAAATCCAGTTTTATTGCCAGTAATTCATAATTAACATGGTAGCAGCCCGTTGGTTTAAAGAAATGATAAATTCAAGTGCAAACAGTGTCGACGATATATAAATACAAAAAAGAAAAATTAAGAAGCTCACTAAAAATGGCGTACGTAAAACAAAATGATATTATAATTCCTATCTTTGACGGAACCGAATATAATAACTGGATGATAAGATTATTAAAATTTCTTCAATATAAAAAATGTTAAGAGGTTGTGTTTTGTGTTACGTGAAAAACAACAAAAAGATGTTATAAGAACTGGGACGAATTAGATATTCAAGATACAAACTACATTTATTCCGCCATTACGAACAAACAATTAGAATACATTAGTCACATAAATTCAGCATACGAAATCATAAAAAAGTTTGATGAGATGTACGTAAATAAATCGACATCATTGCAAATTGTATGTAGAAGCCATATAAGCATGGAAAAACTTTCCTGCTACAAATAGTTTTTTCGACGAATTTGAAAAAGGGATTAACGAGTTGAAACAAGCTGGCTCCATTGTGTCTGAACCAGAAAAAATAAATTACATGTTAAAAGCATTACCACCAAGTTTTAGTCATATTGGAGATTAAATTGATATTTTGCCCGAAAAAGACAGAACTGTAGAATACCTTAAACTAAAATAAAAATGAAAAATATAGAGTGTAAAAGAAGCAATTTAAGTGAATTTCATAATGAAAAATCAAATAAGTATAAAGCCAATATAGACAATTTCAAGACAAATACTACATTTCATTCATATGTTATATGTGGAAAACATGGACATAATAAAATAAATTGTTGGTTTAATAGTGACAATATTCATCATGGTCGAGGCAGAGGAAATACAAATTTCAGAGGTCGTTACATGACAAGCCGACGTGGAAACAACATGAGAAATAGTTATAGAGGTCAAAACCAAACTCAAGAACGTCCAGGTAATAGTTTTCACACTACAATACAAACTAACATGTCTACTCGTATGACTAAACAAACTAAAAATAAAAATGAAATTATACTTTGTTCTTCATCCTCGAGATTAGAGAACAATGTGTAGTTTCGCTTAGCGACCTGCTAATCGGACACTAAAGTTTAAAATATATTTAAAATTAAAAAATAATAAAATAAGATTTTTCACAAAAATGTGCAGATATTTCATTTTTATAAAAGTGGCAACAGAAAGTTCATGACCTAGCGGGCATTACTTCAAACCTCATTCGCGTTTTAGAGCTCTGCTAGTCGACACAACTTTCTCTTCTGTCCGTAAGTGCTGCCCTCCATTTTTTTTATTTTATTGAAAAAATATTCATAATGCCGAAGAGAGGTCGTAATGATGATGATAGTGACGGTTATATTAAACGGAAGTTGAGAAAAATCGAAAAGAAGTTGCGTAAACGCAAGAAATGTTCACATCATGTTATAAGTTCCAGTAGCAGCAAATCTAGAAACGAATTCTTGGAGTCGGCAGTGCCATCGCTATCCGAAGGTTTACTTTAGGATATCTAATGCAAACCAATTACTTGAGTTTAAAAATAATTTGCTATCCAAATAACTTTGAGTGCCTATGTACTGGTTGTTTTTGTAATCCTTACAAATTATGAATTATTCTTTGCATTAAATGAAATAAATTTAATTTGCATAGTAGATTAACTTTTAATGTAAAGTATAATTGTACAAATACTGGCACTCGATTCTGTCAAGACAGATCCGTGCTGGTGAGAAAATTTGTACAGTTTTTATTAACCCTTAACTGGTATCGTAAATTTGACATACATAACTGGTAACGTGGGGGCCGCGCAGCCCCCCTAGAATGATTGCTTCTAGCAAGCAAGTTTTAACTGTTTACTTAAATAAATGCTTTTAAATGATAAATAATAGGCTTGTTTAATGTTACCAATTTGTTTTTAATTATATAAATCTTCTTACTTAGATACAATAAAAGATATCATAATAGTAACAAGTTTTTGTTATTTTTTTTACGTTACAAACAAAAATATGAAAATTTCTTTTTGGCAAGTTATAATACAAACTAATAATGTTTAACTTAATCTATGTTAAAGGAACTTAAAAAAAAATACTTTATAGTCTCTAATTAAAATTTCACAAAAATCAACATGGACCAAGCTCGCTTGAATTTAGGACTCGCGAACACAGTCACGAAACTTTATTCAGTCTTGACAATTATCACATAGTGTTTTTGTGCTACTATGAACTTTGCAAATAAATTGTGAACAATTATTGCATTTCGTAGCAAATTTACCATCTTTCTTTCTGTCACATAAGTGACAGCGTCCTCTTTTTAAGACGTTTTGGCTTGGAGCCGCGACATTAGATGTCGATGGTAAAGGCACCGTGTTAGCTGCTAAGAAATTATCAATAATAGCACGCAAATCCCTTGGGAACTTAGAATACTCGGTTTTTCTATCCAAGATGTGATCTTTGATGAGTTCTATACCAACAGATTTTATATAGTCCTTTCGCTTCATCTTTTTGCCAGCATTTGAACCTTTCCACAATATAAAGCCGTTTACACAAGCAATATTTAGAATACCAGCAAATATTACAATTGGCCAACGTCGTGTTCTGCGAGCTACTGAGTAATTAGCGCATTTTTGATCTAAAGCATCCACTCCACCTTATATTATAAAACTCAATTATCTCCGGGTTTTTTGTGCGTTCATTTACGCTTTTGTCATGATGCATTGAAGAAATCATTATAACGCTTTGATTTTTTTTTTGGCACAAAAGAAGATAATGTTATTTTAGCTGTAAATCCAAAAACTGAAGATTCTAGTTCCCTGTGCTTATGCAGTTGGAATTCAGCGGGGATTTCACGTTTGTTTTTTCTTAGAGTCCCGACGTAGGTCAAATTTTTTTCGAGTAATGCATCAACTAACTCTACCGATGAAAACCAATTATTTGCTGTTATGTTCCTGTTTGATCCAAAAACCGGGGAAGCCTACTGTAGTACGAATTGTGTGGGTATGACCAAGAGAAAGTTGACCTCTGATGCGTTCCTGCTGCTTGCCTGTATATATAAAGGCATTATATAAATAGTGAGTCTTAGCATCACATAGACATAATATTTTGATGCCGTATTTAGCAGGCTTTGACTTCATGTACACCCTGAAAAGACATCGACCTCGGAAAGGACATAACATTTCGTCAATATTAACCTAACCTCAGTATCTCTCAAAACACCTTAGAGAACGCACACAAAAAGAATCCGCTCTTCTTTTAAAAATTCATAAAGTGGTTAATCCAATGGCTACAGCCAAGTGCAATATATCGTGACGTGCGGAAGAAAGAGATCTATCCGACGGTGAAGGTCCCAGTGAAATCGGTGCAGCGGTTACAAAGATATCCACCGAATTGTGTTTAGTGCACGTGGTCTAAGTGTGAAAATTAACTGTTTTTCGCCTGTGATTCCCATATCACAAGGAGTTTTGTCTGGTGCGAGGTCGCGTCGATTGACGCGCAAGAGCGCGACCGATCCTTTGGGAGTTCAACCAGGAGCACAGCGAGAGGGACTGCGGTGTTATTCTCTGAAAAGAGAGTAACCTCAAACCACGTGGTCCCACTCCTGGACAGATCCGGGAACTTCTGAAGGTGAAGAAAGACGGAGGACCTCGCGGCGAGTTCGGCAACACTTCGCAACCGGAAATCGGCCACAAGACCACGGAGATAAGTCCTTTTTAACCATATAGAAACTTTTGGGGTAGGATATCTCCCTTTTTTGCTAAGGGAGGTGCACCTTTTTACAAGCTGCGAGGGTAGAAGCTACAGAGATCTACATACCTCCAAAAAAGCTCCTCTCAAAACCCGGTGCATCGGGAGGTATCCTGGCCCAAAGTTTGAGGTAGAACTTTCCCCCTCGACTATCTCCGGGATCCTCTACCGCAGGGATGCATGGTGGTCTACTCTTGTCACCGAGAGTAGACCACCATAATCTCTCAGTCCCCACGTCAATTTATTTTTTAGTTTTAATATTTTTATAGTTATTAAGGTATTTTTACATATTCTGCTCCTCTACGGGGTAGAATATTAGTTTTTAAGTTTTTTCTTTCCATTATACGTTTTAAACCCTTTAAATCACCATATATAAACCCAAATTAGAAGGCGCTAGCCTTTAAAACGCAAGTTTACCTTCCGGCGGCCATTTTGTTTATATAAGGTAAAATTTTAAAAGTGCCTTATTTTTTTTATGTTTTATTCTTAAACCTGTAATAATGAAAATAAGTCATTACCCCCTTATTAATAAACGAAGACTACACATGGATTAGTTACTCCATGTTTTGTCTCTGTCTAAAATTTGTCTTGTTAAATTCTCATCCTACAGCTGTGCGGTTTTCTTTGTTGGGGCTCATTTGTCACTGCCCTTAGGCCCCCATACCCCAATAGGGAAGATGCATATATAATATTTATGAAAATTTTATGATTAAAATGTTAAAAAAATATAAAAGAAATGCCACTGCAACGTTTTTATTTTACATAATGTTGTTTTTTAACAATTATTACGAATTAAAAATACTTGAAACGGAACGTATTTTAAAACACCAATCAGCGTTTAGTGACGTCACTCCTGTAATGACAACTTCTTTGAGGTTATGGTTGTTAAAGTAAATATTATTTTATGGGAATATTTATTGAGTTTTTTTACATTTAATAAAAATGGAAGTTGCGTTTATCAAAGCAGACTCCAGGAATTTACCAAGAGTTAGCGTTGACATGGTTATAACTTTTTTTGTCCAAAGTGCAGAGTTTTTAAGTGTAGAAATGAAAGGGACTATATTACTACGGTATGTAAAAATCGTAGTTTATTCGTATTTTATTCAGCGGCTTCTACAAATCTTACGGCGATAATGCAATCGGCTATGTCCAAATAAAAGAGATGGAAAATTATGTACAGTAAAAGGTCGAGTTCTCCGGAGCATAAACTACGTAAAGAAGGTTATCGTGTTACAGTTATTTTAAATGAAACGCAAAGTGTGCCACACATTTTAAACTTTATCTAATTTTCGACGTCATTCTCCAACTGTAAAATTAAAAATATGTTATAGACAGGTTTTGTAAGTATTAGGTATGTCACTAATGCGTTTTTACGTACAAGCAGATTAATTAAGCATATAACAAGTATATTCGCCAACTTACGTCAAAGTGATCTTCTCAGCATCGAATAATGGTCTTTGGAGAATAATTGTCATTTCTCTTCGCAGCTTGAAAC